GGGACCCCCCCCAGCCCCACCACTGAGCCCGGGTGCCCGGCAGGGGCTGGGAGCCTGGCGGCCCCCTCCCCAGGGAGCCATCTCTGCTGGGATGGTGGGCAGGAGGAGGCACAGAAATCGGCACAGGAGGGGTGTGTGTGGGTCTCTAAACACCCCAGAAGCCCGGGGAGGCGAGTGTGTTGATATTTAATTACCAGCACCAACAACGCACCCCCTTTCCTGCTGCTCTTCCTTGCTCAGCTCTCCTCCCCACTCGTCTGAGTTATGGGGTGGCCCTGGCCCCCCCTGAGGTGGGGATGCTCAGGGGGAATAACAGCCCCCAAAACCCAAAAGTAGGACGTGCCTAAGGAGAAGGGTGGTCAAGGAGCTTTATTTGCTGTGAAAGTCAGTGTTCATGTGGAAGTGTTTTTGTCTCGGGGTGCACCAGGAGGGTCCTGAGGTCACCCCCGTGTCCGATGGGAGCCGGGAGGGAGGTCCCAGGGGAGACACGTGGCTTCCCAGGTGGGCCCCGGTGCTGCTGCTCCTCGGTGGGACGGGGTCAGACGCTGCCGACCAGCCGCAGGCTGTTGGAGTAGATGACCAGAAGCACCACGGTAAGTATGATGGTCAACACGGTGCCCAGGCAGACCGCGGCGATGTTCAGGTGCTTGGCTGTCTTCCCGTAGCTTCTGGCAGTTTCTGGGTCATGGGCCATTTTCCTGTCCCTGGACTGCAGGAGGAGAAGATGGGCAGTGAAGGACACGAGCCAGTGGCGGTGGTGGCCATGGGCCGAGGGGATCTCCTGGAGTCCCTCTCCAGCGAAGCCCTGCACCGGGATCCACCGGGCTGTTCCAGTGCCATAGGAACTCGCAGCAGCCTGAAAGTGCTTTCTTAATGGCTTATTAAAAGCCATTTCTCCTGGCAACACGGTGCCCGGTGCCGTGGGGGCTGGGGCAGCAGTGCAGGAGGGGGAGAGCCAACCAGAATCAGGGGGAGCAGTCGGTCGGGAGCACCCACACGGCACTTCCAACGGTGCTGGAAAATACTGACGTCTGTCTCTGTGGTTATCAGGGCACCCATCACAAATTACTTGCTTTGATGGTAATAAAGGGAGGGTGCAGCTATCTCTTATCTCGGGCAGGGGTCAGGCCCCGCTGTGGTTTGGGGAGCACCGTGGGAGGGGGCCGGGACCCCGCTGCCCACCTTGTCCCCCCGGCTGGGGCTCAGTCAAGGCTTTCCCAAAGCACCGCAGGAGGACAGGCCACCTCGAATGGAGGCTTTGTAGGGGACACTGGGGGCAGAGTGGTGTGGTGGGGCTGGACGTGGCAGAAGGCAGAAGGGGGTGGGGGGGGTTCTCAGGGGGGAAAGGATGGGGAACAAGATGGGGATGGGCTGGTTTGGGGCAGGGTGGGACACGATGGGACAGGATGGGATTCAGTGGGGTGGGACAGGATGGGACAGGAAGAGACGGGATTAGGGAGCCCTGGCACAGGGGCAGGCAGGACCCCCGAGCCGGGCAGGGGGTTGGTGGGCTGGGGGAGCCTTTCCCCTCACCTTAATGGAGAAGACGAGCGCGATGAAGCCCAGGCAGAAGTAGTTGCAGTACATGGCGTTGAAGAAGGACCAGAGCACAAAGTCCGGGGGGCTGGGGGCGGGCTGCGGCTGGACAACGGGGGTGACGGTGGGGCCGAAGGCGGTGGCCGGGGAACCTGCCCTGTTCCAGCCGTAGGGCTGCATGTTGACGCTGACGGACTGGGGGTGGCTCTCCATGGCGGCCCGGGGCACGTAGGGAGCAGGGACACGGGCACCCGGGCTACTTATAGCCCAGAGGAAAGGTTTTCCGGGGTGGGGCCACCCCACCTGCCCCCACCCAAGTCCTGGGGTAGGGTCTCGGGGACGGGCTGGGGGATGGGTGGGCTCGGCAGGCGGGCTGGGGGCAGGTGGGGGAAGAGCCCCAGCCCCAGACACCGTGTGGGGGGCAGGGGGAGGGGGGTGCCCGGTGGTCGGGCGATGGCACGGGGCGGGCGCCTCGTCTGATCCTTGTTGCTTTTTGCCCTCTTGGGCTGATCAGTGATTTCTGCCCTGGGCAGGGCAGGACAGAGACTGGGGTAATTCGGACCCAGCGGGAACACGGGCCATGTGAGGGCGGCGGCCAAGGGGCAACCAGCAGCCGCCCGAAACCCCCTCCTCAGCTGCAAACCACCACCCAGGGCTTGATCTCCATCTGCAGAGGCTGAAGGCAGCAGCAGCAGCGGTGGGGGTCAGCCAGCCTCTGGGTTGACACCCAGAGGTGGGTTTTGTGGGTTTCCTTCTTACTTTGGTTTCAGCACCCAAGATGAGGTCCTGCTGCGATGACGAGGTCCTGTGGCTGCCAAAGCAAAAGGTTGAGAGGTGAAAAAGAACGCTTCAGGAAAGCAGCAGGGAGGTAAAAACCATGTGAATCAAAAACCCACCAAGACACAGAGCTACAAACTAGGTTGGGCTTGGTTTTGGAAATATCCACATCCTTCCTGCTCAGTGACCGGCTCCTGAAAGCAGGGTGGGGGGCTGATGAAGGGAAACAGCTCTGATGTTTTTTCTGAGAAATAGGATTTCCTTTGCTCAGGAAGGGCAGAGGGTTTGTGCCAGGAGGCACTTTGTGCAAGGGTTTGTGCAAAGGCATTCATCATCCCAGTACTTTGGGTGAGGAGCTGAAAGTCACAGCCCCAGATGTCACTTGCCCTGAACCCACAGGAAATTAAAGGTTTATGTATTATTTTTTTTTTTTCTTTTCCTCAGCTACTTCCCTGGTGGCGCTGCCCCCTGAGATTAACGAGGTTCATTAGGTTCAGGTGATAATCAAGTGATGACTGTGGGAAATGGGGAGGCTGGTGGGAATGGGTAAGGGGGTGGATGGAGGAGGATGGTGGCTCAGGGGAGGTTTCAGGGGGGTGTTTGTGCTCCAACCCCTGACCTATGGACCTGCTGAAAAAGCTGATTGCAGGAGCCTGGGGGGGGTTCCCCATTTTGGGGTGCTGGTGTCCCTTCATGCAATGCAACCTGCTTCTCTGGCTCGTGTGGAGGGGGAGGCGGGGGGCGAAGGGATGGGAGATTTCGGGATGCTGGCCGGAGGCAACCGGGAGCCACAAGGACCGAGCACAGCCGGGGTGTGTGTTGTCCATCACTTCCCAGAATCCATTTTGGGATCCCATTTCCCGCAGACCCCCGGCACAAGGCGGGGTTACAGCTGGGGTCTCCCCCCACCCGAGCTCGGCACCCACCGAAATTCCCAGCTCCCCACCCGCCTTTGCAGCCGTTTATTTTATTTGCCTTTGCACTTGAGCAAACAAGGTGTGAGAGAGCAGGGAGACAAAGTTCAGCCCCCGCCCGGCCCCGCTCCCCCCCGCACCCCGGCCCTGGGGAGGGGGCTGCGGCCCCGGGGATGCTCCGCAGCGGGGCCGGCCAGTCCCACCGTGTCCCTGGGGGGGGTAAGGGCTTTTGGGGCGAGCACCAGAGGGAGGGTGCGGGGAAGCAGAACGCGGGGTGGGGGGGTGGGTGGCTTTTGCACCCCCGGTGGGAAGGGTCCGGGAGGGGGATG